CCCACGAGGTACTCTTACCAACAACTTTTGCAGTATCTATCGCACTCGCTTCTTTAACCACCCCGGCCTAGTGGCAAGTTAGTGTCAGAATGGTCGATGTAGGCATGGAAGTATTGGCTGCTGAAGCTAGAAGGCCCTCCTGCGCTTGCCACACACGTTCTGTCCGCAAAACACTGGATCGGAGTTTCGAACAAACAAGGGTGCTGCTCCGATCCCAAACTGTGTCGGAACCCTATATAGTCCACTTTCAGAAGGTGTGATTTAGTCAGGCTCTCCGTCCTGAGTGGGAGACCTGAGTATCCCCGCGGTTGACAACCTTACAAGCCACAGGGTTTAGCAATCTAAGCATTGAACCACGGGTTCGTTGTCTTGCCGTTTTAAATCGGGAGATATTGATATTCGTCGGTTACCATTTACCGGTCGCTAAGGAAACCCAAACGTCCCGCTCTGTCCTGGGGCTCATTTTTGAGGCAGATAGCACTGCCGGCAAAGAAAAGAGTGCCTGAAACGGCCATCTCTGGCTTATTAGCCGTCCTCAGCCAGTGGCACCCAACCCCAAGTGGTGCGCCTCCCGAGACTCGAACCTGCGACCAAGGCGGCGAGCTAGTTAATAATACTATCTACAAACTGTACTGGTACCTCCTATGCTTATTGGTAGATGTCCTCGCGAATCTCCTTTTCTTTTTTTCCGCGACATTAAATTATGTTCCCCTCCTCTAATTTAGAGGCACTATGCGGGAAAGCAACGTTGTGACGAAAACTTTCGATGTGGCCCAATCGGATGTCGCGGACTCGGGCGATAATGGTGTTCCGGAAATACGAGATGACTATGGGTTCTTGGAAGAACTGCGTTCCAGTGAGAAGAGCCATTTCCTAAAGGTGCCTTCCACATTTTTGCTTCTATTTCAGCCTTTTTAAATATATTTGAGATAATTTCAACCGGTGTGTTAAGGATTACGCCTATTTTCTACAAATGTTGATGCTTTTAGTCGTCATGGCCGTGTACGTTGGGCAGAATTTGTTTCTCATAAGCCCCGTCTTGTATTACTTGGCTGTAGAACAGAATCACGGAAGGAAATGAGTTCATGCAGTAAACGGCAACGACAGTGTAACCTGTCACCTACGAGCAATCACTCTCCTTGTTGTGCTTTTATCTAGACTCCATGAATCATCGCCTCGGTACACTTGCATACACTTTTTATACGTTCAAAATGATAAAGAAGAAGGTGGGAATGTTTTGTCACGGGAAGTCATGTTGTACAAAGCTTTTATTATTATTATGACAACAGGGGATATATCTCTTTAAACTTTTAACTAAAGTTACGAAATGTGACGCTCGTTAATGAACGTTCACCAGTCGCTAACAAAGC